CCCCAAAACCCCAAAACCCCAAAACCCCAGACAGGTAAAAACGTAAGTAAATTTGCGACAATTAAATTTGTGATTTGCTTGCAAAATAAGCATTATAGTGATAATTATATTTTAATGGATAAAAAGATCTCTAACCCTGTTCCTCAGGGACGTTAAACTATCAATCAAAGTAAATTACAGCGAAACATTTTAGCAGTTTTATTCTAGTGCTTGAATAGGTCCATAATAATACAATTGAAGAACAGGAAACGAACGAGTACTATGAAACATAAGAATAAGCAGTTGCAGATTAAAAGATCGCTTAAGGAGTTGACATTGCTCTAGACGACAGTGACTTCAACTAGTTTCTGACTTAGAATGACAAGCAGAACAAAGAGTAAGTATGAGAGTGCTATTTGAAGATCTAATTACAGTCCTTTTCTAAAATAAATAAGTTCAGATTTTTACTCTGTTTAGTGAAATAATCAAAAGGCTAGAGCAGTAAAACCAAATAATCGCAGACGCAATCGAATAAATAGAGTCTAAAATAGAGCAAATCAATCAAAAGCTATCAACCCCTACACCTTTCCAGGTTAAGAGCCATAGATTTGAGCTTAATCCTGAGAATTAAGAACTAGCAGGTATGCATTTCATTTTATCTGATTATTAGGATGGGTCAATAAAATAAATGAAACTTAAATAAAGCAAGCTCAGCTGAAGGGGTAAATCGAAAGACTGAAAGGCAAACTGTCAATACTGTAAAAAGGCTCTGAAATGATTAAATTTGAGAATGATGTGAAGGCTATCTAAATAGAGATTCAGGAGTTGCAGAGTAAGAAGGCAGGATTGGAGTCCTTACTCAAGGGCTAGATTAACCATATGGGCTTGTAACTAAGTGACTAAAAAGAAATTGATAAAGTAATAAACCTAAAATAATAGTAAAATAGATGGGGCAATTGAAGCAAGAAATAAGGGAGTGGAAGTAGAAATATAGGGAACTGCAGAGTAAGGATGATAAATCAATGATAAAAGAGCAGAGAGATGGCATTCTGAAAGTGCACTATCAAATGCAAATGCTCAAACAGCAGATTCAAATGTTCAAGAACAGCTCTAACAGTGTGATCATAAATAACAGTACTTCCAACATCAATAAATCGACAATACCCACTGCTACTATAGATAGTCCAAATAATACCAAGTCTAAGATCATTGTAAGCATTAACTATAAATGATTTTTGCTATAGCCTTCAAGGACAAAGCCAGATCATGTGTCAACTTTGCAAAGGAAAATGAATGTGGATAAGAACACATATGAAAAGTCACTAATCGTGCTTGAGGGTCATTACAATAAGCTTTTACAGCAAATATAGGAAAAGAAGGATAAGTATGATTTGATCAAGGTAGAGAATGAACAGCTGCAAAAGGAACGAGAGAAACTGCAGTAGCTCTAGAGAGATCTGCCTCCAATAGTGATTTCTCAGCAGTAAACTTTGCATGATAAAATGGGAGATGCAAATAAGAACTCTCCTCCATATAAGGATTTAGATCCAAACAGGAGAAACGTGAGAGACGGTAGTACCATCAATCAGCGCATATCCCTTAACAAGTATAAAAAGAACGCAATGCTGGAAGAAGACGGACTCAGCGGAAACACCTATGAGGACATTAAGGCAAGAGGTGGGGGCAATTTCGATAGGAATAGAAGCAGTTAGCATAAATTAAAAGGCTCCTAGGTACGCTAAAGTCACATGGTGGAGTCACTGTATAAGAACTCACCCGATGGTGGCAATAGCAAACCATACTAAGCAGTCAACAAGTCAGTCAATATACAAAGACAGAGGAGCAATCACAAACTTGTCACTAAAACAACTGCTTATTAAGACAATCATAGTACTACTATAGAGAATGCAGGGGGTGAAGAGGATGATGATGATGTTGTGATAAAAAATCAGATGAAAAAATCAAAGAAAAACTCAAGAGTGGAAGACTACTCTGAGACTACTAAGGACAGCAATAAATTGCCAAGCATAAACAGTAAGAATCTGACTGACAACAACTATGAATGAAGCATTACTAAATTATAAATAACAACGATTGATATCAGAAGAGTTTATTACTAACAATTATTAACCTTTCTTATGAAAAATTTAATAATTAAACTTCATTATAATTAACATAATTAGTTACTTTAAAAAATAGAAAATTAATGAACGAAGACGAGTTAGTAAACATCTGTTCCTCGGTGGACGACAGGTACTCCCCCAATCAGAAATTCAACAAAACCTAATACGGGCTAAACATCCACGGCTACGGAGGCAACCACCCTCATACGAATTTCATCAACAAGGGCAGTTTCCTAAACGACATCTCAATTGAGGGAATTGATGAGGAAGGAAGAGCTACTCTAAAGTCTCTTTCTGGTAGGGACTCTAATTCAAGTGCGGGAGGACTTAAATGGAAGAGAAAGAGTGAGTTATCGAAAGGTATATCTGACAGCAAGAGCAGGATATCGATTAAGGGGGCCAATCAGTATGAGTATATTCTGAAGCAGGACGATCCGTTTAATTACGGCAGGAGTTCAAATTTAAACGATCAGTAGAAAGCATTAGCTCATTAACAGCAGTAGGTGTCTCAGCATCACTACTACGCTGCAAACAGACCAAGTATAAAGCTAGGCAGCAACTCAGAACAGAGGATATCTAGGATAAGCTAGATAATACAGTATCAAATGAGAAACTCAATGGGACAAGGTGCAGGGGGAGTGCTGTATCAAGATTTTATCCCAGAAAATGACGAGGAGGATATTGGTGATGAGATGGATTCGGATGATCGCAAATTTAGCATCAGAGCTCTCAATTTTAACATGATGTCAAAGCTTATCCCTTAGAACTCGTACCTGGCCAGAGCAAGCAGTAAATTGATCAGCAATAGTCACAGAAATAATGGGAGAGGCACAATCACATCCAGAAAGACTAATCAAATGAGAAAGCAAAGCAGAATAAGTAAAGCGCAGATGACCCCAGGAAGGGAGTCTGAGTTATACAATGTCGATGATGCTAGTATGGATGAAGAATCAGACTTCATGTCCTCTCACAGATGCTCACTGGTTAGAAGATACAACATGCCTACATTCTTTACTCCAGACAAAAGCATGTCAAGTCGAATGGGCACCAATGGCCAAAACTCTCCTCATATCGATATGGGAGACTCGCTGAATGTTCACTAGCCTAACTAACTTTTCCAAGGAAATGAAACAATAGTGGAAGAAACCAATGAAGCAGAGGAATCAATCCTAAACAACTCTAGATTCTCTCAGCGATTCTTAGACATTAATGATGATCAAGAGCCCTATGGAAGAATAAGCGGCCTCTAAGACAATAAAAACAATACTGGCAACTACTAAAATACTGTAGTCAATAACTAAAATGTATATAACTATCAGCCAGCACAGCAATAAAACTATTAATATCAATAACAACAGCAGTAAAACAATAATGAGCAGTAGAATGTGTAGTAGAATATAAAGGCAAAGAAGAATAAATTGGATGCTTTTGTTACTAAGATGCCCATGCCAGGTTAGCAACCTAATATACTTAGATAGGAATCAGAAGATCAAGTCTTTGAGCTAAACAAGCATGGATCATATGTCTCTGATACAGGAATGAATGACATGAATACAGTTGTGCATTAAGACAGTCTGACACAGCAGCATATGTAGCAGCAATAGCAAGATGATTAATAGACAGACACAAATGGCAACGGGCAAGATCTGCATAAAGTTCACTTCTTTTAAACTCTGCAGGCTCTTTAGTTTATTAAAAACAATCTCAGAGTAGTCACATTTGAGGAGATCCAAGATCAAGTTATTTACCTGCCTGAACCTAAAAGGCCAGAATGTAAAAATCAACTATATATTTTCTTTGATTCTTATATTGTGTATAGTGAAGAAGGTGTTGATATTTGATATGGATGAGACATTGATTCATTGTGTGGATGATGTAGAAACGGATGACCCAGATGTAGTTCTAGAAATTGATTTCCCAGATGAAGAGACAGTTTATGCTGGAATAAATATCAGACCATATGTGATGGAATGTCTTGAAGAAGCTAATTAGAATTTCCAAGTGATAGTATTCACTGCAAGTCACTAGACATATGCCGACGCAATTCTAGACTATCTAGATCCAAACCACGAATTAATACAATATAGAATGTACAGACAGCATTGCATCTTGACTAAGGAAGGGTACTACGTTAAAGATCTGAGAGTGATAGGCAACAGAGACTTGAAAGATTTGGTTATTGTTGATAACTCAGTCTACTCATTTGCCTTTTAAATCGATAATGGCATCCCAATTATTCCTTTCTATAAGGACCCCAATGATGAGGAAATGCTACACTTGATATACTATCTCAACTGTCTTGCGAATGTTGAGGATGTCAGGCAGTAGAATAGAGCAGCTTTTGAGTTATACAAGCTGGCTAATGGTGATTAAGACGGAGGCAATGGTGATACTGAAGACTAAGATTAAGATTAGGAGGACATTGACAGTAATGATGTAGACTTAATTGATGACCAGCAAAATGTGATAATGGAGATGAGCAGAGAGAGTTCTCTGAATAATGCAAATGCAGATAGTAGGCCATCCGCAAGTAAGCATAATTTAAATGGCCGAGACTCCTATGGAGATGATATGCTTCCTTCAAAGTACTAAGTAGTGCCAGAGAAGTATAGTAATGACTTAACAAAATAAGTATCTCAAACAGACAGTCTCTATGGCGATGATATTTAAAATCTTAACTCTCGATTTAATGACTACTGAACAACTTCTAAATGATGACTCCGATTTGATACTTTGCTCTACTTAGTTTTTATTGCTTATTCAAACAAATACACAATTTTATATCACAATTTTATTTCTAGGGTTAATTCAAATATTTTTTACTCTTGCAAACGTCTAATACTTAATTCATGGGGTTTTGGGGTTTTGGGGAGATCGGAAGAGCACAC